TAGTCCTGACAATGGAAAGGGGTCAACAGACCCAGGCATTCACAAGTTGCATGGCCTCAAGCAACTCATTTCTCTTTTCACCTGATATTTTTCAATGCTATATCATGCAACATGACATCATTCTTGGCCAGAAAGGATGGGAATTGGAGTGGGGTTCATGTCCTAAGTAGCCATTGCCTGGGAATAGGCTGGGCATCACATCCCCTGGTGGGAAGGGATAAAGGATTACCTCTGCATCCCTTTTTCATTCTTCATTTACTCAGCTTGACCCAGTTTTTCCCCTCGCTTTTGCTCCTTGGATGTTTTTCCCTGTGCCACAGTGCGGAAGGAGTGTGAGGGTGGATAGGAACTTACCTGCCAGCCAGGGACAACCCACCACATCCTCAAGCTGTTGCAGGCCATGGATGTGTGTTTAGAAATCCTTGCTAGAGGCTTGCTTTATTCTTCTGGCCTGCTATATCCAGTACACCTTTATCTCTTTTACACATGATTCAGAGACAGACTAAAAGACTGAACAACTGATCTTGTCTAGCACAGACATCTTATGTTCTTACATATTTAATCCAGTAACTACATGTATTACGTTGCTTGATTTCCCCCATTATTTCAAAATTCTTTTTCACATATTGGTGTTTTTTAATAGTGGGTGGAACCTGGACTAGATCCTGGCCTCAGGATCTATGAAGATCAGCTTTTCTTTATATAGAAAAACATGTAAACATGTCTTCCTTATGAATGCCTCACAAGCCTTTCAAAGCCAGATTCAGAGGAGCTTCAACAAATTTATGGAGAGCTACACAGTGCTAGGCACTCTGACAAAATGAAATTGCTCATTTTCAGTGGAGTTTTACCAACAAAACCTATCTCCACTTATACTGTGTTCAGCAGGGACTCAGGCCATTACAGCAAGTATATCTAGTCACTTAGTGTAACTCTGTTTTCCAATTAGTTTCATAGTGACAGTCACATACATGTTCACCTGCTTTCCCTCATTCAGAAAATTTATTCTCTGTAGAGGATGGACAGCTTTACAAGTGTCAAATACTTGCTTACCTCTGTGTACTCTTTCTGCAGCTTCTGATACTCACCACGGCTGGTATGGTGGTGTTATCCTTCAATAATGACAGGAAGCAAGGTGCCAGTCTGAATAAAAACGTTTGACCCCAGATCTCTTTTTGCATGTTCTGACTCCAGTTTCCCAGCAGGCATTGAAAGCAGTAAACCAATTTGATTAGTTGATAAGCTAGCCAGATTGTCCACTCTCACAACCCAAAGTTGCATCTAGAGATATTACCCACAGCTGTCCATGAAAACTACCCTGGAAATCAGGGAAAGAAGAATGGATGACTGGCTTGTCTTCCCAGTGTGTATGTAAGCCTAAAGAGGCTCAACACACTCAGACCATGGTCAGGTTTGGCACTTAACTCTGTAGGGAAGTTTATGGACATTATGACATTTTCCCACCAACCCTCCCAGCCCAGCAATCGCCTGGAGACTAGAGGTCTGACAGAACCACTCACAAAGAAACTCCAGTTAATTGGGAAGATGTGAGGCTGTCTCAAGAAGTACCATCACCTGCACTGGTGAAGTTCTGTAGTGAGACATGCACCAAACTTCCACTAGTTTAGTAAAGATATTGGATATAAGGATGATGCTTTTCTGAAGGCAGCCTTAAGCAGTCATACTCAGTGAACACACCCATGCTGGTAGAAACTGGCCTTATCTTAACAGCAATATTTAGGCTGAGGTAATCAGGCCCTTGTTACAGAAGATGTGGATGAGAGAAAGAAATAACCCTGAGGTTGTTGCTGGGTGCCCGAGCAAGATGTTCTCCCTTGTACTTTTATTGCCTTAGAAGGTTTAAAGCAGATACAAAGTAGGTGGCTCTGAGACCTGGATTCAAAGGGGACAAGGGGTCAAATTTAGTTGCAAAGCTTAGATCTAGATTTGCACACACAAAAATGGACAGAGCTTTATGGTCTCTCCTTCACAGGATGGGTCTGAATTTCAGTTCCCTCTTAGAAGAGGAAATTAAAACTATAATTGAATCTGTGATTGTTCTAAAGAAAAAGTTAATAAACTCAGTATTTAGGGGTGGAAACACCTCTAGAATAAAACCTCCTATCTGTCTGATGGAATTGGTATAGACAAACCACTTGAGAACACAGTTACTGTTAAGTATCTGTATGAGACTTTAGAGGACATCAATTGCTCCTGTGATTGAAGACCCTAAATATTCCAGAGGAGGCACCCAGAAGAAGAGGATGTGTGTAGAAGACATATATTAGAAGACATGAGAACAATCAAAGCAGGCTGGGAATGGAGCTGGAAAAAGGGGAAACTAGTCATGGGCCTTGGAGGTTGTATGGTGACCCCAAGCTTTCCTACTTCTCCCTCAAGAGAAAGAGTAATTGAGGGAAAAGAAAGAGAAGTCAGAATAATTAATTAAATTTCTTACCTCCTTGTCCTCTAGCTACTTGTCCTTACCTGGATTTAGCAAAAGAGCTTGAAAAGTGGTGAGGCTGCTCATCTGAGAAGGATTCCTGGCTGGCAAACCGCCTCTTGGACAAACTGCTGGTTGCTGCTTGGTTGGCAGTGCAAGGCACACTGCCCTGAACAGCAGGACCAAGGAAACTTGGAAACCCAGGCAGAGCTGCCACTCTTGTCTGTGGAAGATGTACACCAGAGGTTTTTTTGTGTGAGGACAACACAGTGAGCTGGCACAAGGTACCTGCTTCATCCCCTCCTGACATGCAGGAGACTGGAGAGAGTGTAGATATTTGAAAGTGGAAGAGAGGAAAAAGGCTCTTGAGTCTGAAGGGGCTTTTGAATTCCTGGTGAGACAAAAGCTGAGGCAACCCCACATCTAGGGCAGAGATGAGAGTTAGGCTTGCAGGGGCATGGGGAGATGATGCTAGAAACAAACGTACCTCCCAAGTGATGGGCAACAACTGGTAAGGATTTGCAACAATATTCTCATATCCAAGAACAGGGGCCTCTAAAAAGACATCCAATAGTTTTTTAAGAACAAATGTAGAGTGGGAAAATGGTCTTCCCTCCAGTCAACTTTAAATTATATATGCTAGTTACTCAATCCTACTGGATTGACGCAGTAATATTGAGAAACTATGTTTGAGGGGCTGCGTGAATTGGACTGGAAGGCCCTTTTCCCTGTTTAAAAACCATAATAGTTGTAGCTTTAAATGCTATTCAGTTTAAATGTTATAATGTTTCACAATCATGTATTTAAACACAGAAATCTGTTTATTTACCCAAACAAAACAGAGGAAATGATTCCAGCCCTCAGGTTTTGAATTCTCATTTAAATATGTGAACATGAGTCCACAACTTAGAGATGTTTGTGTATCTATGTACCTCCAAAATACTCATATTTCATAGGCTTTTTCACATTAATATTCACCAACAGTATCACAAAAGTTCTTTTTCTTTTACATAACTGTAAGCAACAGTAATTCTAGAAACACTAGAGAAAAGAAAAAGCATAGCAATGTCCACAGTTACAAGAAAAAGTGCACATTACTTGGTCACAATCACAGTCATTACTTGGAAAACTATATGTAACAAGTAGATATAAAATATCACTGATGCTTTAAACTCATTGTCAAAAACGAAATTACATAAAATTTTGTACATGAAATAAGGCAAATTTAGGAATGCACAAGAAACTTGTTATTCAACAAAAGCTAAACAACGGAACAGATAGTACAATAAGCATAAACTAAAGTATCTTTTTCTATATACTTAAAAAGAAGCCTGCCATAGTGCACAAAGAAAACACCATTAATGTGTAATCAATATTATAAAATAAGAAATAGAGGGGTTGGGAAGAGTGGGGAAGGGGAGAGAAGAGTATTATTATAGTTGCAGCTGCATCCACTTACAGTTTTGTACAGGTTTTAGCTAGGCCTGGGGATTATACAAATTATACCAGAAGTGTCAATGACCTTCCTTGGTAAGAATTTTGTTTAAATTAAGGAAAAAAAATAAATACACACAAGAGTGCAAATTTTCAGATTGTCACTTGCAACCTCTTAACATTCATCATCTACATCCAATCACAACTAGAGGGACTTGTATAAGACAGCAGCAGTGATCATGGAGTCAGATGAACTCACTGTAAGAAATCAAATCATCTTTTTTTTTCTCAACGATATGTCTTTTTAAAAAACGCTCAACTCTTTATTAATTGCTAATAAAGCTGCAATATATTACAGAATGGAGTTGAGAATGGCATGAATGCAGGAAATGCATACTTCCTTTGGAAGGTATTCCATAGATGACAATTTACAGTACACAGGGGAGGAAATTATCCAGCATCAAGAGTTACTCATTGTAGAAAGAATATGAAGTTGGGGAGAAGGGCACAGCCAGGGATTCAAGAGAGGAAGGGGGGACTTAAAATAGCTCCTCAAAACATTTTCAGGACCAGTGAAAAAGTTTACCAAAGTAAAAATGAAAAATCTTGAATGGAAACAAAAATCTTTTGTTTCGTTTTTTTTATAAAAATTACATTTTTTTAAAATACAAGATCCTTTTAATTGCAATTGTGCCCTGTAGCAACAGGACATTTGGCAATGTTTTGCCATATACTGCAGCTTTAAGTCCAATGAGTCAGTATCACATTCCACTAATATTGCACTTGGATCTTGAACCACTTGTTTTAAAAAAACATCACAGCATCTTCTGTTTCCTCCACTTGTTAGAATGAGTTAATTTCTAGCCACTTTTTCGATATTTATGCTGACACACTAAAACAAAAGCAATAGGCTGGACACAGTAAAGTACCTCGGAAATACCAGAGGTCGAAGTTCACTTGAAGCACCTTAACACATCACTTTATGGATCAAGAACAGTGTGGCATTATGGTAATTAACTCTCCTAAAAGACTGTGCAGTAACTGAAGTGTGTGCTCTGGGAAATCAAAATGTCATTAGTGGAAATTCTGAGATAAGACCAGGCCGGTGTGAAGGTCACATGACTCAGTTCTGCTGCAAAATAAGGTTTTCAAGTTCATCTGCAGAGCGCAATAAAAACGCGGCTGATTCTCGGTACCCTGCCACAAGCTGCCTCACTGCATTGATTTCAGTCGGACTCAGCTGGGGTCTGGAGCTGGAACTACTGGAGGATCCAGAGCTGGTTGCTAACTGCCTCTTCATACTGAGATCTGTTGGACCTACAGACAGCAAAGGGAAAGAAAAGAAGCTTCAGATCTGCTGCCAGAGACATTTCACAGGTTTGTAGATACAAATGAAGAGTAGTAGGACCTGCTCTCATTTGCAAGTAGCAGAAATAAGCAATAAGCATACTGTTACCAGTCGCCTCGACAGGAACCACAGCAATTTGTATTTATGTATCACAGACCCCACTTACAGAACATGAGGGGCAAGTCCACTGCCAGCAGAAAATTACTCTCCAGGGGCATGTTCCAACAGTGTGAGCCACTTGCACCCCAAGCCCTGCCCTGGGATCTGATGACGGCGATCAGGCAGAAGGTTCATCTCCTGTGCCTCCCCCCAGCTCCAGCTGCCATCATAGACTTCATGGCAATATGCACACTTGCAATTTTTATCACAGAAAATCCAACTTATGTTCTCCAGACAGCTATTTTCACATTTTATGCTTCAATCAGCATGTGGCCAGATTGAATCCCTTGCAGACGTAGATAAATGGTCATACACATGACTTGCCTGACGCTGTCTGATCACTTACATAAATAGCTGCTCATGAATGAGATTAGGCTGGTGACAATCTGGCTGCCACAGTGAGGAGCACACTATCATCTGTGAGGGCTGCATACAGCTGGCAACACATTGCAGGGATCTTGTAAGGCCAGAACACTGACAAGAGATTCTGAAGCAATCACCATGCTGTTGTACTGGCAGCTCACAGCAATATGCTTAGCACTTTTCTTCAAAAAATATTCTCAAGACCATGAATACTTCATAAAGAAGACAGCATTCCTGAGGGCAGTCTGCAGGTTACTGTGACTGGCAAAACATCTGCCATCATGAACTTTGGCTTTGTGTGGAATTTCCCTGACTGTTTGATCAGTTATTAACCAGCTAAGATGCAGCTTTAATGAAGTGTTTGTAATTTCCACTTAACACATTTTTTTCTTCTTCCTGGAGTGTAAATTTGGACAGGCAGAATTGGACTGAGGACTTTTTTTAACATCTATAGAAGAATATAGGTGGCAACTATACTTATTAAACAGTATATTTTGTGTAAATCTGGGAAATACTGGTCTCTCATTTTGACAGTGTAGCAAATTAGTACCCCTAGCAGGCAGAAGATGAGAGTAGCCTGACCCTAATCTTAATACTCTCCTGGAAATTGGAATCAAGCTATCCAAAGCAAGGTATCTTGCTTTCTTACAAGAAGAGTGTCAAGTCTCCAATTTGATCAGGACAATATATGTCAATGCCAAGGTTTTCCAGGAAAGACTAGAATAATATTAAAATTTAGCATATTCAACTGTAGAACACAGAACACACAAATTTATACTCTAGAGGTTCTCCTAAATAATCCCACAAAGTTTTTAAGATTCAAAAACACAGACTCACAATCATAACTACTAATGGAAAGAGATGTCTGATTTCCAGAAGCTGAAAATGTGGTCACAAACTTTATTTAATTTTCTTTCTTATATGTCTGTGCAGCAGTACAGGTGTGACCACAAAAAATGTGGAGATTTCCATGTCCCTACAAAAACTAAAGTTAATGAAGAATCTCCCATTGAGTGAATAAAAGCAGAGCTGGGATTATGAAAAGAAACTGCTCAAACAGAAAGGGTCCTATTAGATCTGATTTCCTGCTACACCACTAGCATGAGCAGCACTTACGATTTGTATTATCTGGTTTTACAGTGGTATAAATGAGCTGACTTTTAAATTATTTCCAGTGTACAAAGGATAAATTAAGCACAATTAGCTCAGTGAATTTGCTTCGGTGTGACTGCACGCTGCAGGAAAATGATTACTGTGAAGAAGCTGAGAGGATATTTTAATAAAATTTTAACACAGCACAGGGAAGAATGGTATACCAATCATAAAGCCAGTTGGGCTGGATGTTTGTAAGAAGCCATTGAAGACTTCTGTATTTATTGAGGCACTAGTGAAAAAGCTGCCACTTTTGAGGGCATTTTGCTCCGTATGAACCTACTTTACCTTTTATGTTCTTTCCTTGACTTTCATTCATGTCACTGCCAAAAACACTCACACAAACACACACACACACACAAGCAATATCTGGCAGAACAGAGTTTCTGCAGCAGAGCATATCATTGTATGAAATGTAACTGAAAGGCTTTTCTCATTGGTAATCCAGATTTTAAGTGAAAGAATAGGATATCAATTTGTGTCACTCATAAGTAAAATATACATGGAAATGTTCTTGGTCATACGTCTCAGGTTTTCCTTACACAAACTGATGGTGCACTGCACCGAAAGGAAAACTGGAAGACCAAACGTCCATAATGCACAGATCAGAAGAAGTCCTTACAAGTCTATAGGGTCACAGTTATTTACATAGTCTGACAATCCGGCTGTCTCTGTATTCCTAGATGTCTGGATTAACTTTCACTAAGAAAGTTCTTTAATTGTTCAGAATATTTATCTTTGCATCCTGAAAGTACTAGAAAAAGCCAGATGGCAGTGTGCATACACAAAGGACAATTACAACCCAGAAATCCTCTTGGTCTGGGAGATTTCTGTTGTATCAGAGATCTTGTATACATAGAAAATAAGATATCTCAGATTTTAACATACTCAGCATCTTCAAACTACTTGGTGGGTTTATTTTTTTTTATTTCTATTTACTAGGAAAATGGCATTTTACTTCATTTCCCTGCTCCTGCCTTGTACTTAAGAACTCACAATGCTGTCCTCCTTCCCCCTCTAAGAAAACTCCCCTGAAGAAAAAAACCAAAGGAATACACACACAGAGAAAAGTTTCATAGCAAGGATTTTGGGACAGTGAGAACACCCATGCCTTTTCAGGAAGGGAAGCTGACAGAGAACTAAACAGGAAAAAAAAAGTCATGCTTCATGTGAAGGAAAGGATTTTAGCTCTTTTAATTATGTTATGTGAACCCCTACATCTCACCTCTAAAGTTTACCTATGACAGCCCAAGCTTTATATCTGGGAGAACACCTCACTCAGAGATTAGTCCCAGGATGTGTTATATTGGCCTCAGCTTTTAATAGCTATGATAGACACTCTCTGGCAGTAATAGGGATTCTCAAAGGTTGGCCAGGCTACTAAATATTTGTAGCTTCATCAGTCATTCCCAGTCATTTAAAAACTAAGGAGTAAGTCCAACCCATAAGTGCATTCTTGTACTTTTATGCAAATCAGCTACTGAAACATGGAAACCTTACTCATACCTACCATATCTCTTTAATCAGAAAAATAAATCACAGCTATTCTGAAAACTTAAAATAGCTGGTTAAAAACACTTCATGTACATCTATCTCCAGAAGCCATCACTACAGGTTACTAAATCTAGAAAAAGCTGAACAGCTTCACCATCATGTCTTTTAATAACTATCTTTACTTTTTCTTTAGTGTATTTAACATTATTTATTAAGCTGCCATTTCTCACAAGAACAAGAAAGTGTACACTTGTAAAGAGGAAAATCTGAATATTTTTGCAATGAATTTTGCAGTGTCAGGTTCCTCCAAGATGTTACTGCACATTTTAGCATACTGCTTCCTTTCTGGAGTACTTCAAGACTATTTAAAATCTTGACTGCAAACATTGCCAGGTTCCACAATGTCTGCTGAGCAAGCAAAGATTAAGGATATATCACAGAGGTTAAGAGATTTTTTCTTTCTCTTAGTGTATATTGCCATAACATAAAATTGTCACCTTCCATGATTTTATAACAGCACGGCATTCTCACAGGCAGTGGATTAAACAAATTGCTGAGACTGACCCTTTCTTTCAAACTCATTCAGAAGACTAAAGTATTGTTCTTCTGCCTCTTGTTTAGGCACCTGATTGACACTTTAACATGGGAATATTTTTGATTTACTATCCCTGAATAGCTACATTGACCTAATTTCCCATGTGAGGTGCAATTGTTCTTATTGGAACCACATCAGGCTGAATATGAAAACTCTAAAAACCCACTCTTCATGTGCTAGACAAACATTTATCAAATTAGATGCTAGAAATGTCTGCCACTTAATACATTGTGGAACAAATGGCTTTTTCTGAAAATTACAAGACTTTAATGGAACTAGTTATTGCTTCATGCACTACTACTCATTAGCAATGTGATTTATATCAAATTCCAAAATATGGGTCAGATGTAGATGTGCTGATACTGATTGCTTAGACACTATCAACTGTCTCAGCAAAATTCCCTTAAGAATTGTATGTTGTCACTGGGTAGCTACCAATCTTATAATTAACAACTACTGAAAGAATAATAAATGTGTCAGTGACTCTCAAAACAGTTATCACTATTGTAGATAATGATGTAGAATAAAAAATAATTTTTAAGAGCTTTATGTGCTTAAGTAACTACATGTTCATTAATAGCTAGGCAACTTTTTTCAACAGTGACACTTATTTAGAGAAAAATACATTTGCTTATGCTTTGAAATCTCTTGTGTATATCTTTTCTATTGCACCTATTTTTGTCTCCCATTTTTTCCCCATGAGTGGCTTTAGAGGAAAGGTTGGACTATATTCTTACATACTCCAATAAAACTAAATAGAAAAGAAACTATCAAAGCATGATACCTTTTCTTTCCAAATCAGATGTATTTATTGCAGTAATACTTTATTGTGACGCTATGTATCTGTCAATGCTTCTTTTCCTCCTGCCTTCAAACACAGAGCAGATGTGCCTAAAAGTATTGTTTCAAGTACCAGGAGAAGTCAAGAAAACAGGGACTGATGAATTAGACCTTTTAAGCTTCTTTCTCCCTTCTACACCTCTCCCTCTGGAAGACACATTTTCTGCTACTTTAGACAGCAGAAAAAAAATGCTGTCTTGCCGGAGGAAAGTGATATGAAAAACACAGAAATGCCTACAGCCATCATTCATTTTCAGTGATCAGGAAACACAGTGGTCTGTGATTAAATGATTATGTGAGATCCTGCCTATCCACCACAGGAGATTAATTATGTGGTGTACACTGTGTTGCCTGAACAGTTGTTGC